TGTCTGTTGTGCATTAGTTCCAGCATCTGATGGTCATGGGCCATAGCACATAGTTTAAATGTGACTGAGTATCGTCTCTCCTCAAAACGAACAGGAAGCAGACATGGAAACAACCACGAAATGTGATGTCAGGGTATACTCTGACAAAAGTGGCAAATCATCCGGTTTTTTTTCATTTTCATACCACTTCTGCTACGATTGTGCTACCAGGGAAGTGGTGACCTATGTTTTGGACCAATCCAAAAACTTGACGCACTTTTCCCCTCTGATTGGTGGCACTATGTTCACTGTCGTTTGGTCGTATAACCTCACACTGAAATGCTTGGCATTACTCTCTGATGCGCTGCGATGATCGTTCGCTTATATATAGTTTCTTGATCCAATGGATTACATCGGTGCACATTTTTCATACGAGTGTTTTGCGGGATTTGACACAGGTTGGCTTCGTAAAGTAAACAACAGTTTTGTTTCGGCAAACCGCTACACGGCAATAAATGTTTCAGCAAGCTGAGAAGTGCCTAAGAATGCTCACCTAGTATGCCCAGGGAGATGAGCAGATGAGCGGTACGTCCACTAAGATGGAACACGGATATAGAGAATCGAACAGCTGAAGACGGAGGCGTATCTCATATGATAATACTAAACTACCAGCCTGCTTACTCGAACTATTCATTCACGTGTAGGAGCGGACACATTGTGGCACAGTATGACACCTAGACATCTCACTGAAACTGATGGACGTAACCTCTCACTATCCTCCTTCAAGTGACTTACTCAAACACCTTCAACGCTACCGAAGTATACGTAATGGTCCGGTATTCGTTGTTTCCCTTCTTTGGCACTGGAATATTGCCAGCAGTTCTCTATCGGGTCAAGCCAAGTCAAGTCATCCAGGAGGAATGAATACTCATTTGTTCTCTGCAGGTCGTGTACAAACTAGCAATGTCCTAGCCAAAAAGCGGTATCTTCCCTAGACAGAATGGGAGACAGTCCATCCGAACCGTTTGATTAGCTAGAGTTTATTAGGCTGATTTTTGTCCAATGTGAAAATGTCAACAAATGGAACCTCCGTAAGCGACCGAAAGTGGTTGGCTGTTAAGTTGGGAATTTCATTAATGCAGTAAGAAGACAGAGGTTGCGATATGTTAACATTTCGATTGCTCTCGTCAGTCGCGACGCAATACAGGCAAGACAAAACACGCAATATATAGGGTCCACACTTAGTAACAAAGATATAAGAAAGATAAGAATGATAAGATTGACGTAATCAGGTCCAAGGCAATCTAATTGATTGCCTCAGTTGTTTCTGGGCACAGAGGACGGGACAATTCAACTTTATCAGTAGCGCCTCGCCAATTGCCAACAACCTCGGGTTCCTGTTGCGCAATAACACCTTGAATGAATCGATTGGGATTACCGCCGAGGAATATGGACAGGATTCACACACAGATTAATTTCGAATATCTGTACGATCAACTCAGCGACCTATCGCCGAAATCAACGGTTGATGCAGGATGGTTTCGAGCAAAATTAGTGGATATCGCGCACCAGTTCTAGAACGCGCCTATTAGTCAGAGGTGTTGCTTGAAATCGGAACACTATGTTGCAATCAAGGAGCTGCAGAAAATGAAAGATGTAATTTTCCTGCAACCGGATAAAGGCACGGGTGTAGTAATAATGGACAAAGCGGATTACACCGCGAAAATGGAGTTGATTCTCGGAGATGGACGCAAGTTTCGTATTGACAAGACGCTGGACAACAATACGTTGGTGGAGAAACAAATTACGAGACATCTACAAATTCTTTTGCTTCATGGTTATATCTCCGAGTCACAATATCGGCAGCTAAAACCGACAGGGACGGAAACACCAAGAATGAGGGGTGCGCCGAAGTTGCACAAGGCGGGAATTCCACTACGTCCAATAATGTGTATGAATAACTCACCCTACCACAAAGTAGCTCGTTGGTTGGCGAAGCTCTTAGAACCCGTGCGTAAGCTCCTGAGCACGCATTGTTTGAAAGATTCCTTTGAATTGGCCAGTATACTGGAACAAACTAAACTCGACGCGGAGCTCATGTATTCCATAGACGTGGAATCACTTTTCACGAATGTGCCCCTACGTGAAACGGTCGACGACCTTCGCCAGTTCCTTTTAAGTCAGAACCTCTCTGTGGGCCTTCCTCTGGAGTTCCTGCGAGACTTGATATTGTTGTGCACTGAGAATGTGCGATTTCAGTTTGAAGGGACGGCATACAAACAGATTGACGGCGTTGCTATGGGTAGTCCTTTGGGACCAGTTTTGGCAGATATCTTTTTAGGTATGATTGAAAGGAAAGCTGCTGCCTGCATTGGTGAAGCCAAGCTTTACAAGCGTTATGTAGATGATATTCTCCTCTTCACCAATGAGGAACATTTTGGCCGTCTTTCTACCCTCCTGAACTCAATTCATCCTAACCTTTCTGTATCACAGGAGAGGGAACAAGAGAACAGACTGCCGTTTTTGGACGTGCTCATCAAAAGAAGGACCGATGGCACACTGCAGCGCACTGTGTACCGAAAAGCGACCTGGGGTGGACAATACCTACATTTTTCCAGCTTCGCCCCGGTCGCATACAAGCGCGGCCTCGTAAAAACTCTTTTCTACAGAGCCAGGCGGATTCGCAGTCCGGAATTGCTCAAGGCTGAAGAAGAGTTTTTATACCGGACTTTGCTAGCCAATGGGTATCCGGAAAAATTCATTCAGATTCATAGCAGACCCCCGAAGGAGAAACTGCCAGTACAAACAGCGGAGAAGAAGGATATTTATTTATTCTTACCGTTCAAGGGGGATCACGTGGCAAATGAAGTTGGTCACAAGCTGAAGTCCTCTCTAACGCGCACCTACTCTACAGCACATCTACGACTTATCCACACTACACGAAGGATTCCTCTCCAGAGCCGTCCGAGTAGCTCGCCAATCAGTTCGGCCTCTAACATCATCTATCAGTTCACTTGCAGTTGCGGTGACACTTACATAGGCAAGACTGGTCGCCGGCTGGCTCAAAGGATGGCGGAACACTTCCCAATGTGGCTAAGGCAGTTGCTGTTTAACCAAGGCCGTGCGGACCAAAGAATGAACCGGAACCCTGCCTCGTCTATCACCAAACACCTCATGACCACTCGTCACCAGGTGAACCCAATCGATTCATTCAAGGTGTTATTGCGCAACAGGAACCCGAGGTTGTTGGCAATTGGCGAGGCGCTACTGATAAAGTTGAATTGTCCCGTCCTCTGTGCCCAGAAACAACTGAGGCAATCAATTAGATTGCCTTGGACCTGATTACGTCAATCTTATCATTCTTATCTTTCTTATTATCTTTGTTACTAAGTGTGGACCCTATATATTGCGTGTTTTGTCTTGCCTGTATTGCGTCGCGACTGACGAGAGCAATCGAAATGTTAACATATCGCAACCTCTGTCTTCTTACTGCATTAATGAAGTGGCTGAAGGGGACTCAGTGTTTCAAGTTGGGAATTGCAGTAGCGCTGATGTAACCGAAGTCGCGGTTGAATTCTTTCGCATCCACCTGGTTAAAAGGCGGATGAAAATTATCCACCTCCGAAAGTGTGGTATGGTTGTGCTGGTCCTGTCTTACAACTGGGGTGTTCGAAGAGGTCGAGACTACCAATTACTTACGACTGTGTCATTAAAACTTATGCTGCCGTAAAACATACTATGTGATCCTTCTGTGAGTACTTTGTGTACAGCAACTTATTTCAAGGAGACTTTGGATGCATCGATGCAACACCCAGCTCATCGATTGTCCCTTTAGTTAGTGTGCGACTTGATACCACAGCGTGCAAGTCAGTACTGAAGCGATTTGAGTCGCATTCATAAGGCGTGACAATCTTCAAAGCCTACGACGTCTCCTTACCTCCCATAAAGTAGGCTGGTTAGTCAAACTGCTTCGGAAATGGTCAACTGAACGGGATGCTGCAATTCTCTACAGGAAAGCACGACTCCGTAAGTAACTTGACTAACACAGAAGGTCGAACACGGCTAAAACGACGGTGGCATTGCGCAAAGGCTAGTCATTGTAACCAAAAAAGCTGTACAATTCAGTGAAACTCATTAACCTCTGCAGAGTTGTCAGACGCTAGCGTTAGTAATACTCCACTGGGATCTACCATCCTTCCTTTGTTGTCTTACGCATATTAGACCACAGTATAAGAGGGGCCGCCGAAAACATGGTGCAAATAATTTGCGCAGATACGAAGCTAAGCATATACACAGGCTACTTTTAGAGGTATTGCTGCCTCATGAGCAAACAACATATGAATTCTAAGTGAGTTGGCTTGTGAAGCAAAAGCACTTACGTGGTAAGGTCTCCGTCAACTCGTACAGCTTAGCTTGTGAAATACAACTTTATAAACGGTAAAGGTATTGTTTCCTCTCCTTAGAATGCTAGAAACTTCCGGATTTCAAGATTCTGTGTTCGCTTTGAAACACCACCCTAGTTTGTCAACGCCCCAGTGACCAGTGAAATGCAGCGTGTGCGAGCCACTGCTGTATGCCTCGGTCACTGCCGAACCAAACGCCGCTGACGGGTTCCACTGTTGACCCGAATTAGTCCAATGACCATACTTACAGCTTAGAATTCGTTATTGCTACTCTTTGCCTATCCAATAGCAGGTTACGCATGACGATGTAATCAAACACGTGTTCTGATTTACACCATACTAATTTCTGCTCGCTTTGCGGATCATACAGTTGCTGATACGTGGTTCACCCAACAATACATAGCCTATAAACCATGGCTTCTACTGTTGTACAATTGCTTGCACTACTTGTTAATAAAGTTGGGCTTAAATAATTTTATCCCTATGGGTGCAAAATAAATACGGCCGCGAACTATACCATGTCGATCGTTCAGTGAGGTAAGGTTCTTTAGGTTGTTTGTTTGCCTTCCTACACTTGACTTATCCTCTTTTTACTTTTCTCGCTTACCTCTATTCCAGGTTTACTGAAATATGATTATTTGCTGCGAAACTTCGACCAACCAGTGATGTTACGCAAATGGGAAGTGGCCAATGCAAACCACAAATATGTGATTAAACAATTCAAAACAATGGAAACGCACTTCAGGTTCATCGTTGACATTCCATTTTGGGAAATACAAGAGTTTCTATCTCTAGTGCGTTCAACCAATGCCTCTGAGCTCCTTAATATTCTTACTTTAGGCAGATTCTTACAACATGACATCGCAGTACTACAGCTATGTGTTCACGGATTGGGTAGGTTTAATTGGTCTGTGATAATTCAAAGCCACCGTTTCGCTCCCCACATTCTCAACATTCACACGTTCATTATCATCCTAACCAATAGGATGTACAGCTCGTCGATCCGGCAGCGTTCAAAGTCGTTGAGGGAGCCAACATAACCACCTTCTCCATTCTGCAACCATTGACCAACGGTGGTTATGGATTTGCGGCGTTGCTAGACGACATCCGGGTGGCGGCCTTGCAAGATGAGCGTTTCACAGGTTCCAATGTTCCTAGGCGCATCAGTCCGGTAAGCTCACTCCGGTCCACACACTTAACTTCATTGTGTAGACACATTACACTGGACAAGCCTCTTATCTTCCTTTTCCTTCTTCTCGCTCTGCTGTACTAACGATCTACTTCGGACACACCGTGACCCCAATCAAGGATGCGTTAACTCCTTGGAACCAGTAATCTGACTGCCTTTCTGTCCAGCTATGTTCAAAAAGGTTTTGCTCTGTTAAATCGTCCATTTTATTCAGTGAAGCAAAGTACTGTCCAGCAGTCAAAACGAAGTTCCCTTTTAGTTTTTTCTAAGAAGAGCATGCGCTAAAGCGTGGATGGTAGGTGACGTCCATGCTCACGTCAACCTTAGCTTCGGTGCAGTGCCAGAAGGCACTAGTTTGTAAACAAACGTGTCGTCCCAATAGATTGTGTAGCGATGCGAAACATTGAAAGCAGATAACTGATTTAGCATACTGTGCATTGGGTTATATTGACAGGCGTCGCTTAATTACTCATCAGCAGAGACTTCCTTAGTGATCAATGCGTTTGGATCATCGTAATTCATGTAACCTGAGGCCAAACGTGTTCCACTGCAACATGTCTACCTCGACACACTGGTGGAGGTTTTCGGGAGGGCATGGAGACCAGGATCTCCAGTCCGGTTAATCGGGGAATGTGCACTGTTGACGAACCTGGCAAGGAGGAAACTGCCGCTCAGCGCTTTGCATTAGGTTGGCATCTCAGTGTTTGTCTGTAACTAGTTTAGTTTGCAATTACATGTGACAGGTAAGACAAAATACCATAGTAAACACAATCCAGAAAGTCGACTTCAGGTACTAGGCAAGCATCAAATATTAGGTTGAAGTTCAGTCAATAAAATGATGCTGCGGTGCATGTGTCACACGGCGGGAGGCCCATCATTCAGTTTGGTTAGGTTGTTATGCTCTCGTCCTTACGCAACACCCAAATGACTGCAGACAAGTGGATATTCATGAACTCAACCGCAGCCGAAATGAGGAATGACTATGCTTTCAATAAGGTCGTTCGCGCTCCACTCTGGTTACTATCATTAAGGAAGAACAAGTACCGGTAAATGGTAGGACACTGGAACAGCCCAAACGCTTTACATTTGACCTTAAGAAAGCACAGTGAATGAGAATAGCATCGGTAAGATGGCTGGAGCACATTGCTACTATTGATTGACTCCGGATTCTGGTGTGATGCTCCTTTTATGCATCTGTATCTCAAAGAGAAGGTGCACAGCAAAGTTTCAACAGCCGAGTTCAGAGCCCCCACATAGTCATCAGTTAGACCTTACCACTTGTACAAGTCAATTAATTATAAACTATATTAATGTTAGTGTGCTTGTTATATATCAAGTGGAATATTTGGTGTAGTTGCATCCGCACTCCAAGCAACTGAGGAACCCATTCAAATTGATGCTTGTTGGTAGGGTAGACCAGCTATGTCATCTACCACCGTACGTGCAGTACTAAACTGATCGGAGACATCTACACAAAAGTGAGGAAAATTTTGACATAGTTGGCATTGTGAATCACTCAGCTTGGCAGTTCTGGCGCCGGAAACGAGTGACTTGGACAAATGCGCCTGTTGTCATTGTCCCACTTAACGCTTTCTGCATCGGTGGTTACATTCATTCTGTCCATCTATCACAATATCACCCAAAATCCTGTGGTTGGATTATTGGTACCGTGGACATGATCAATAGGCTTGCATAACCTGCGTAACAGAGAAGAATGTGGGTGACGGTGTTCGTAAGCTGCTGTGTGTCGAATTCTGCGCAGCAACAGGGCTGCCAGTAAAGTTGAACGCATGCCAGGAGGTTGTATGGAAGCATCTATACCATCTGGGGTATGGAAACAGCCTATTCAGTGAAAATTCAACAGAAAGGGTAACATTCGGAGTGGTTGGCACAGGGTTTCCTGACACTGCGATCAATTAAGTCCGCAGCCTCGGTTTAGATAATGTATCTGGACCCATCACACGATGCATGTTCAACTGGATGCCTCAATATTCAGTTAGAAGGACTAATCCATTCTTCTTCATACCTTAATCTACACAGGGGAATGAACCGTAGTGCTTGTAGGTAACCTGAAATGCTGGCTTTCATCACTGCTACAAAACATAACGGTTGACACCAAACTGCATGCAGATACACGGCAAATGTCTAGATCACGGGGCTTTTTAAGTTGTTGAGGTTTTTGGATCGAAATTGACCGAGCACACTACTCTCTCGAAAAAACTTAACTTATCCCCTTTGTTTTGTCTTTCTGTGACACCACCGATGGCTAAAATCCAATGATTGTCCATGTTAATCTCATCTGACATTGGTGTGATTCCAAAATTCTCCGCAGGTTTGGGTCCCACCGCATATTAAGTTTAGAGTTACGGGCGTCACAATACTGCCGGTACTGTCTCTGCAGTGTCTATGAAACCCCCGTTTGCAAGTTTCTGTACTTGATCACTTAATTCTGTCAGCTTACTGATGATATGCGTGATTAAAGTCTTTGCGCATATTGCATCATATTGACAGTTCACTTGTATTTATAAATTTTTCGCATTTGCTCCTTGTAGACTCAGTCGGCCTTGCTTTACGACGGATTCAGTTTACTTGCAATGGGATTACTCTCCAGCTCAAGAACAGCCAACCTTTCGCGACCCACGGGGATGTCATGCTCTAGGGTCCAAGTGTGGACTCCTGGACTGAGTCTTATCAATGACATCAAAGCGGTATGGAATTTCGGTTATACTTCGCTTACTGTTGACTGCATGATACACTGTAGTACAACTTTTTGTATTTACATGTTCCAGTTAAATTTGTGGTAATATAAGTACTAGTGTGATCATGGTCGTCAGTAAGCCATTTCCGACTTATGGTGTTTAGGAATTGCCTTTGAAGTGAACGTGCTGTTATGAGCCAAGGAAATAACGCAGCTAACCTATTAATGATCACCCGGGTTTGCCAAAAGTTAATCTGAGACTACCTAATCATTTCACCTTCTTATCTCCCCTCAGGTTAAACCGGAAAACTTCCGAGGACTCACGGGGACATTTCAGTTCGATGCTCATGGTTGGCGTTCAAACATAAACCTGCACATATTGGAACTCGGTATGGATGGTTTTAGAGAGGTATGTCGGAAGTGAACTTAGTTACTTTAACTGCAGTCAAAAAGCCGCCTTCTTTTTCAAGCTAGTAAGCAGCTACTGATGGAAATGCACTTAGCGCCCGCATCCTTCTGGAAGAGCGACGGTAACCTTCGCTCCAGGGACATATAGCGGGCTAAGATGGGATTAGTTTACTGTAGTTGGAATAGCATGCACGGTGAAAGACATTCGCTTCTAGGCTTACGTATTATCGTGTCCGCTGGTAAGCACAGACAGGCCGAGGTGGAGTCCAGCTCAGACTGGTGGGAATATTGAGGCAATCGATCATGCACACACTAACTGCAGGCACCAAATACACCAAATTTGTCCGAGTCTTGACACCGATAAAATGTGTGCACACCGTTACGTTCGTGTCTCATGCTTACTTTTAATACTATTTCTCATCAATGGTGTCTGTGCAGTCAGAACAGCACCTGTTGCCATCTATGCTTCCTAAGAAACAGTGACAAACTTATCGGTCGGCCGAGTGCCTGATTTCAATACATCATGTTCTCCTGCCACTACTTTTGTCAGCTCTATTGACTATAGTGCACAACACCGTTACCGTAGTCGCGGAAGTGGTCACTGGCGTATTCGCTGCTGTCTGATAATCACTTCCCGATAGCTCACCACTGCAACTAATGTAGGACACGCGGCCACACACGCAATCACATATTTCACTCCGCTTGCCTGTTTCCCATGTGTTCTATACCCCATTTGATTTTCCTAGAAGGCGAGTGATAAAGTTAGAAGTAGAACGGCTAAATGCTTCTTTATGAGACCAGGACCAAAACACCCTATTCCAGAGCATGATCCCATCACATATACACTCACCGGTTACTTTCCATCGTATCCAATTAAGTAGTGTCTGTGGAGCTGGATGCATACGCGATGTTGCACCTCGATTTTGTCTTTCTTATGCTTCTTGGACAGTTTGGTCGGTGGAACATGGACGAGGGGCTAGTGGTCACGAAGAACTTCTCATTAGCCTTACAAGAAATGCAGTCAGAACTAAAGGGGAAAGTGTTACGCATTACCACGCAAGAGGTGAGCATTCTTACTAGGCTCCCTTCAATTTATCTCGTTCACTCTCTTGCATACATTTTGCTCTCTCATACCTTTTGCGGTTCTCACTATCCAATATCCGTTTACCTCACTGCAATCTGGTTAGAAGTTGCTAAGTGAACATCATATCGAGTTTAGTATTCCGAACTGACAGTGTTCCGTGGGTGCACAAAGTTTTACTGAATACCAAGCCCTACTTGAGACATTTGCAAGGTGACTGGGAACACAGCACATCTACCGCGATCACCCAGATATCTACAAACTCAGCTGTCTTAAGCGTCGCTTGCATGAAGATTCTTACATGATCAACTGATAATTCAATTGTTAAGTCAGGAAAAATCAATTCAAGAGGAGAAAAGCTCCCACGCCTGCAGTCGCTATTATCACGCAGGAATCTCACCGGTAATTTATAGCTGGTGATAGCGTTGAGCATTATTGGTCTTTAAGTGTTGAAGTGCTTCATTGAAGAGTGGTTGAATTCTGATTCATGATATCAGCGAGGGGCATGCAGCTAATTTTAGTCATCTCAACCACTGGAGCCCAATCACCACCAGCAATGTTCCACGTCAGGACCTCTTCCCCTCTGATTTCTACTCATCACTGCGCGTTTTGATGTGCTCATTACACACCAGTTCGTTCGCAAATTCAAGAGCGCCTTTTAAATGCATCACACTGCAATCAGAATGCATTTGTCAGGAGTACTAACAGAATGCTGAACCACAAATAAATAAATAGATAAATATTTTAGCCCTTGATGGTGCGACTGTTCCTTCATAGGGATGGATCAACAGGCTTACTCGTCTTATGTACACAGTGCGTTATAATCTTTCTTGTATTATCATGTAAGCTTCATTTCACCCGCCTGGCTTGTAACCGCATTTACCTGGTTGTAATTATCCTCATATGGCTGCGCTAAACTCGTAGTAACGGTATTAATAGGAGAAGACAAGCTTCTAATAGCGTAATGAATATGAGGCTTACCATCGACTTTCGCATTCATTACGGTCCCGCAGTAACCATGATGACCCCGTTCAGCTTCACAGGTCGGTGGACGGAACAGCTATCGTCAATGCGCAGGCCCAGGTTTCATGGATTCAAGGGCCAGATCGACAGGCCACTCAAAGGCATGGTGTCCCCGAGCATTTTAGCTTACATATCTCTACCAGACTGTGTTACAACGATCATCTGCAGCATTTCAAACAGGAGTTAACTCTAGGGGGCATTATCCACTCAGTTAATCTCAATTTGGGATGTAGCCTACTATCCCAAATCTGTGTTTGGTGTCCGGAGCTGGCGATTTTGCGTACTTACCACAAATAGGTTACCTAACTATCTATCATCGCATTAGCGTGATTGTTGCGAAAGCATGCGTCGGGGCTCCGTACCAATCGGGTACTTTCGCTCCGACCTCATGTCCATCGCTGAATCCCCAAATCGTTCGATTGCATCTTTGGTCTTAAACGGAACGCCGAGGTTCCCGACGTTGTTCGCTTACTCTGTCGTCCCTACAACATGGCCAACTGTGTTTTAATCACGACTCAGGCCTGGAGGGGCCTGAGAAACTGGGACTGACGAAATGATCCGAACTCGTACGTACGCGCTCTCGAGGTTTACGTCACAGAGTCGCCAGTACACGACCAAAGCAGAAAAAGACTGCCTCAGAAAAGTGACGTCCTAATCGACCGTCACGTGCACCGCTAGCCTCAGGTAGCAGGTTCACCATATCGTTACCATCATGAAGGGGTTGGTCACCCATCCTACGTAAGGGCACACCGATTGCTGAGATGAGGAGCGACTTAGCAACTACGGTGACAAATTCCCAAGCCATGCACCTAGGTCACCGATATTCGCAGGATTTGAAAGTCACTCCAATGTATCTGTTTTCCGTTTCCGGGGTCCATTTTTCTAATCATTTTTGACATTATTCACGAGCAACTCCTTCTTCCATATCTCCTCGCAATTTACCGCTCGTTGGATGTGATCCACTTGATCGCTAGTGACTAGGTCGATGCCGCCTTGGCTTGACTGGCCTGACCGCCCAAGTCTGGCAGCTTTAGTAAATGCAGCCTTTCGCTGTGCTTGGAACTCCACAACAGAGGGGAGCAAAGTGTTACGGGCTTGCTCCATTCCACCTACCAAGTTGTACGGAATACCCTGAACGTTTAGGCTGGACAATATTAGAGCCTGCAGATTTACCTCATAATGACGTGTCACATGCTCAGGGACCCAAACCACGCAGGCCATCACTTGAGGGGTCACCACTTAGAGTTGGCCACGTGGTAAAGCCGGCTGGAATGCCGCCGATACTTTTTAGACGTTCGTTATTTCCTCTCCTGAGTTGTCGGAATTAAAAAGCGACTTTGCTGGTGCATCGCTCCACAGTCATTAAGTTATTTTGCGCGAGGTCAGTGGGCCACGATAACCGGAATACACATGTGAAAGTTAAGGCGAACACACCGACACGCGTCATCGCTTTCGTTTGGCTTTTTGTCATCTACCGGACTAAGAATGAGCTTTTGTGCCCCGTTTGAACCACTGTGTATTGTTCATAGTCATTTGGAAATCTTTCAGTACACAAGGCCGAGGCGCTTACATTCTGGCCACGATGGAGCGTCGTGCTTCGTACACGTAGTATCGTCAATCGCAACCGTAGCGATAAAGTGACTGTCGGGTGTTCCCGGGATGGTGGTGGGGTTGGGTCCGAGACCGCATGCGGTTGCGGATGTCTCGGCTCCGCAACTATAGAGGTCTAAGGAGCTGCAACAAGTTAAGTACGAAGAAATGGTGGACAAAGGCGGCGTTGTGGCTGGTTGGCCTGATGGTGGTTCCGTGGCTGAATAGTGGGTAAAGTCCACGGAATTTAGCCACGACAAGCGTCGGTTAAGGTTTGTTTTGAGGCAGCCAAGTGGTCACCCAAATATCAGTAAGATAGTAGCAATGTCAGTAACTGGGTTCACCTTAAGGTGCTCAATACGTACTTCCCAACCTGTACAGCATCAATGTTACCGGCGTGCGGAAATGTGGAATATCTACCAACTTTGGTGCCCCAAGTACGTAGGGACGTACAGGGAATAAATCGTATATTGTGTGAACCCTCATGATGATTAACCGACAAAATATAGAAGGGTTTTAAGTGATTGGCTGATGGACCATACTAGGCTGGTACGCGTGGATTGATTAAGTCAAATGCACGAATGCAAGTGGTCATGATGCGCTCGCGATATCGAGGACGTTGATGCGTTCGATAACTCTGATTCGCCTGTTAATTTTTCCATTGGGCGAGAGCAGCGCCATCTGCTTATCCTTTCGAGTTACGTATTTTATTGGCGCTCTTTCGCACTTATCTCCTCTTTCTGTTATCCCTGTCGTGACGAGGTGAAAGAGGGCTCCTGGGTCCAACGATTTTTCGCACTTTTAATGGCTTGTTAACTGAAATGGAATGATACGTTGAAATTGCCGACTTCGAGTAACTTCGAATGGTACGCGTGTTACAGGCTCACAGTGAATGAGTTAGCAGTTGATTTCGTTCGCGGCACGCCAAAGCTTGGTAGACATGGGGTAGGAACTGTTACGTCGTGGTATTAAGCTACTACCAAAGTCCGCACAGCTGTCGCAGTTCGGAAACGTGACTCTACCAGAGTTCGACGAGGACCTCATGGCGAGAAGTTTTGCTGCCACTATCACGTGCTAATCTGATGGCTTTTCAGTCCTTACCATCATAAGAATACAGAGTATAGGCACAACTGGGTTTTGACGCATACTGCACATCTGTTCGATATGACTTTATAGTGTTATAATCAACGATAAACTGAGCCTCGCACTATACGCTTTAAAGAGCTTGAACAAGCTGAGGAAAGCAGAATAAGGAACAAAATATCTGTGCGAGGTTAAATGCCATTTTACGGGTGGGTTGAACTTGCCCGCAGGTAACCATCCGAATAAGGATAAGTGGGCCAAACATTTGATGATTTGCTTACATTGCTTCCATACAACAGTAATAGTGGCTTGGTTACTTCAACGGACTGGCAGTATAGCGAACTATGTATCAGTAGTGCTATTCTGACAACACAGGTGACCGGTATTCACTGAGTATACTCTAGAGGAATCCCATGAGCAGCCGGAGTATTGTGTGAATAATTTGTAAATATTGATGGTAAAATCTGATGGCTTTCATACGACTTTCGCCCACAGTTGATAATCTCCAGTCTACAGCATTCCTGTTGACAAGCTTCAATATTTCGATGCTTCAGGCACGTAGGCCAACGAACAGCATTGTGCCCAAGGGTTCCATTGCTTGCTTGCGGCCATGTGGCAGGTGCGCGAATTCCTAATCCATCGTTACTCGACTCCATACCTTGACTCCATCGTGACCTTGGCTGCTTCGTGTACCGTCTAGAACGCATCTAAAATCAGCACTCACTCAGCCGAGAGTTTTCCCAAATTTCCATCTGGATGAGTAGATCTCAAACACGCTGTTTTCATTCATTCAGGTAACCATCTCTTCGACAAGTCCCAATTATTCTATGTGCTCCGGAAACAAGTGTGACAAAGCCGTCAGCACTATCAGCTGCATTTAGTGGGGAGTAATTTTTCTCAACAGAGTTGATTACCCATGGTATATCATACGTGAAAATATAGTTAAATACTACCTCTTCGTTTTTCTAGACCGTAACACTTCCCTTATTTCCCTTACAGGAAAAGCCCTACATGATGTATAAAGGGCGTATCAAACCTGGAGGACACAAATCCACCGATCCAAAGGATTGGAGAGGATTTTGCATTGATCTCTTAAACGAACTAGGCAAAGAACTGAATTTCACCTACACCATAAATCTTGTCGCGGATGCCACGTACGGAAACATGAAAATAGTGGATGGGGTTGAAGTGTGGGATGGGATGGTGCAGGAACTCAGGAATCGGGTAAGTGCATGCCAGTGATGGTCGAAATTGATGCGGTGGTTTACAATGTTGGGTTCGCAATAAAAGTGCAGAGCAGGTGTGGGTTGCATTAGTTCTGGTTTCGAGTTCAATTAAATCTTATGTTATATTCCCAGCTGAAAGGCCACTTGGGTACCGCCGTAGCAATTTCCCAGGAATGACAACAGGGAAGTTTAAGTGTCCCGTACATAGTTAGAGAAACTACTTGTGCTCACCCAACATTTGTAGCTAAGAATCGGTCCACAGAAGGGAACACAATCACATGAGTTCTCCTGTTTCTGGGTTCCGCTCATCTTATTCATTCGCATCACGAGGGAACCATAACCCCAGTGAGGGGCGAAACCTAGCAGAGGCATTGACTACTACCTTCACAATTGCTTACCGAACTAACACTGAGACTGCGTTGGTCGCATTTCAATCGCATGACATCCAGTCTTGGCGAGCAAAGTGCTTGGTAAGCAGCGCAAACTTACCGTAGCTAACAAACAATGGGGAATTGGTAGATACCTACTTCGGTGGCAGCTTTTCTGCTGCATACAGCCTGTCCTCATCAGGTTCTTACTATAAATTAAGGCTGACGCCGTCAGTCATAAATCCGTAGATCGTTCGTCTAAGCACCTCAGCTAGCTAAGCAGTAAACACTCCAAGTAGATTTGTTTCGAGAAACTTATGAATTATCAGAATTTTGGCTAGTTTAATTTTTCAAGGCTCATGTTATGCCGTGTTTATGGCGTCTAAGCTCTAGATCTGTTGATCGATAACGCTGCATAATAACCTCGATCACTGCATTTATTCCTCCTATTCAGAAAGCAGATTTGGCTGTTGGCTCATTCACCATCACCTACGATCGGGAGCGAGTGATCGATTTCACCACCCCCTTTATGTATCTGGGCATCAGCATTATCTACAAACGGATAGAGGATAAAGAAGCTCACTTGTTTTCTTTCCTTCAACCGCTTTCCGCCCCGGTAAGTTTTTACCGCAAGTGCAGTTTCATCACATTACCAGCATCTTTTCCCGTTTTCCTAATTGTATCGCTAAAATGGTGGGACAGTTTTATCGTTGAGTTTCATAACTTATATTCGCGTATAGTCCAAATTTCTTGTTGACTCTGGGCTTTTCTCATAGTACACTATTTCCTACACGCGCGCCCGCAGAGCGGAATCATCCGCATCCAAGTATGCAAACAGGGTGTCTGGATACACTACCCTAGACTTGACTTAATTCGAGGTTAACAGCAGGCAGTTCTTCTGGTTACTATGTTTGTGCCGAGCCATTGAATGGATATAAGGAGGCGTTGATTAATTGCCTGTTGCTCGGTTGCAAACCGTGCGCTCTGAGGCTCTTCTGATCCCATAGGGGCTAAACCAATTCGAGAAATGGTACAGTTCGTTCCACATTGCTGTATGAATTCGAGATATTTCCAAGGCATGTCATTTGCCTCTACCTTTGTGGATGCTTAGGCACATTACTCGAGTTACCATGGTTTAGTGGTTGGGGATGCTCGATTTGTGGCTCACATCCGCACTTCACTGCACACAAGTAGCTACCGTTCGCATACGTATGAATGATCCACTTGCTCGCCAATCGGACACAAGAAGTACACTGCCACACATGTTCACAGTGTTAGAACCAGGACGAAAATATTCGACTACCTCACTGTGTACAAGCGCCTCGAACCACATGCCAACACCTAGCTCGCCACCGTTCTAGCGCTATTGTCTATGTGTTCAGCTAAATATCTTACGGTGTAGGATTGATGCGGCCGTAGGACTTTTAGACTGTGCTATTGGATACTTGCACCATGACCGCATGTGGATAGACTTTGTTGCTCCGCCCAAAATGTTCGCGGAAGCAAGCGTGCTTCACTCCCGTGCTGAGACTGTCGTACACTGTCGGAACGCATCCGGTGGAGAACAAGGTGATGGTTCAACTAACGAACGATTACTATGAACCCCCAAAAGTTAGGGTTGAGGTGTAAAGATTACAGTTAGGATCTTCGTTCATATGACCAGGATGGTTCAGTTACCAGAACTCACCCAGCCCAAATAGTTCTTAAGGAAGCATGTGCGATTACAACCATCCTGAATTCTCGGATCATACTATGCGACTAGCGTTAAACACTTCGGACAATTCGACATCTACCAAGCCGATTGCACGAGTACATTTTTGTGCGAAACATAAGTTTCCCTATTAACCCAGAGCTTCATCAGAGGAATCGTTTTTAGTGAACTGCCACATATATGATCACATGTATGATGTAGTGAAATATTTCCCGCCTCGATCCAAGCATTGTTGTCTCACCATCGTCCCTACTACTTACGACTGCGCGGGATGCGCCAAGTCAAGATGATGTAACCGTTAGGTAGCGTTGCGAGTGCCTTTTCCGTATCTTGTAGTGAGATGATATCATCAAAATGTAACTCGTATACGCACAAGTCACTCAGATAAACGGTCCGGTATCACGAAATGACAACCGGAAATTTGTGGGATGACTCATCAAGTTTTGTGACCCGCTGATAGGACAGTATCTAAGATCAATTTGTCAACAGCCAAGGTTTTTCCTTACCTCACTAAATTGTTTCTTCATGATTTGTTTGAATGCATGCCAGACTTTATGGCCGAAATTAATAACCATTGTTTGAGAAATTTAAATCACTTAGTTCCCCTCTGTAACTCGAAAAGCACAATGAGAAGACGAAATTCGGCAGACGTAAGCATTTCGTATCTTCTCATCAGTGCCCATAAGGATAACTGGTAATTTTGTTTACAAGTTTTTGTGTCAAGACATACATACAAACAAAGGAGAGGAAAAGCGGGTGTCTTACTGCTCCAACCAAGGCAGCCGGAGGCTGACGGATAATCGTTTTTGCACACAAAGCACTGGCTTAATCCGATTTATGGCAGTGGTCTCGATGAACCGGAGGAGCCGGGAATTGGTTTGGCGAAGCAGCATCCTAAACGCCATGTGAACCTCAATTCGGTGACCCGAGGTCAATATGTGTCTGCTGATCGAAGATGCCGGCGGTCTGCGCACACACGGACGTGGGCTTGCTTGTCGCATAAGCTCAAAATGAACCCATTTTGGGACGTACTCCTTCATTCGAAAACTCAATGTCCTATTGGTCCTACATATGTAACTAGCTCCGCAGTTAACTTCTATTTGGTATACGCAGTGGGAGTTGGCCGCAATGGACTGAGTTTCCTACAGTGGAGGCAGCGGCAGCTTGTGAGTTCGGTCAATGATTGCGACTTCTGCAACACCGAAAGTGCTGCGTTTAGGATCCTGCTACGCTATACCAATTCTCGGCTTCACCGGTTCGCCATAAATCAGATTAAGCCAGTGGTTTGTTTGTAACAATAATTATCTGTCAGCTTCAGGTTGATCTGATTGTAGCAGCAAGATACCCGCTTTTCCTATTGTTCGGTTGTATGTGTATGTGTGTGTATTGATGTATAAAATTATCGGTTATCGTTGTCAGCACCAGTGAGACGATGCGAAATGCATGCATCTGCCGAACTTCGTCTTCTCATTGTGCTTTTCTTCTAACCTTCGATTTGCGTGCAGTATCCTGAAGCTTTCAAAATTTACTAGCTAGCAGAGGATTACTGGAATGGGTGTACCAAAGGACGCCGAGGATTTTTGGATTACCGTGCTGGATTCCACATTTTCGTCCGGATTACTCTGTTATACGTGATTTTTCTGTGTGAATTATACACCAATATTTTCTTTTGATGTATTCTTTAGTCTGTGTAAATTTGGTAGACGTTATATGGCTAATTTCGGAGTTCTCATTGATTAGCCCAAATGCTGTCTGTGTCCGCCATCTTGCATTTGTTTTACGGTAATCGGCCATCATGACCACCACACCGATAACCCGAGACGAATTATTTTGTGCTAATCAAAGTCGTGCTAAGGTACTAAAAGGAGGGTTGACTTGTACAAATTGCCAATACCGGTACCATTCAAAGTGCGTCTACGCCTGTAAAACCGACCTAAAGTAATACAGTATGCCGGGTTCACTTTGGTTCCGTCCGAAGTGCGCAACAATTCCACTAGTAAAATGCGTATCAGCGTTAACGCAAAAGTACGACAGCCTAGTCGTAGAAACTGAACATCTTTTGCATGTAAAAGTTGCTTCATCGGAGGGGAAAATAGCGCATCTTGTACCTCATCCGTCTCCCACAATTGCTGCCTTGAAATCAAAGAAAAGTTCCAAGCTTTCAAACTGCCGCGCAGTACTAGGAACCTTGGGAACCACAAACCAAGTTGTCATCGCGACCGATAGAAGCATGTCTAACCTCAAGGCCCACATCCTTTTATCCAATGTTTCGACTGATGCAACATCGGCAGCACCCACGCTGTCGATTTACCAACGAAATCCAAAGCGCTGTAAAGATCGATCCATCTATGCAAACGTTGCTGCTCGGTATGCTTGAAGTGCGACCTCAGTAGCCTCACCTAGTTCAGCCGCAAAACGAGTCAAGGATCAGATGCAAGTTGCACAGGCCTCACTAAATCCATCGATAACCGTGCTTCCCACATCACCGAAGACTAGGTGGAACTACGGAGCCTTGCCACTTATATGCACCAACGTTCATGAACCCAAGGCAAACTCCTTAAGGGGTAAACAGCTAAATGATTTAAAGCAATGAAATTTTCTTTGTGGTAAAATTGGAGTTCATGCCAGTCCGACTAATATAATGCGCATCACTAGACATCCGACCTCGAAACATTATGGGGAGTCCCAGGTAATTCAAGTAACATTGGGATCAGTAGATGATGTCGAGACGGCGCTTCTGTCTGCATACCGCCTGCAAACTGAAAACAATGAAATAATCATGTGTCCGGATGTTCCATGGAGTGAACGCCAGCGGGACAAAAGTAATTCAGACGACCACCACGTGGAGAGTAGCAAAAGAATTATTTTTGTCCATGCCTTGCGCGAGCTACCGGCAACCAGCAACGAGGAAGCCCATGCTCATGATCTGGAAGAACGGCATTACATCCGTGAAGCACTCTGTACAGGCGACGTCAGACTTCAGTCGATTACACGGTTACCCGTGTCGCCGAACTACGGAGGCCGTGGCCGAGGATACTGAAACTAACGGTGCAATCACAACAGATGGTCGTGAAGTTAATCCGTAGCGGGCAGTTATTACGTAACACACTTCCTTTGGAACTAAGATTGAAGACAGCAGTTAGGGAGCCGCAGCCACTCGCTGTTCTCGCGGAAACGAAATCACTCGCGACTCAATATAAGCACAACAGCGATTCAGAAACCTGTGCGCTAAGACCCGTAGATATGCAGAAAGCTGGAGATGGACTACATACCGCAGGTGCAAATGAAACCAAAAACAGATTACATTCCTATCGAGATCTGGCACTTCACCCAAAAAACGAGTAGACGCCGTCCTTTCATCGGTCGGCACAAATCCACATCATTCATGTGCTCCTAGTCAATAGCATTTGACATCCGAGCAGCTTTCGTGTATGTACACCAACGTTCAAGGCATAGTGAGTAAACTTTCCGAAATGCGATTGCGTCATGGATCCAAAGCCTGCGACCTCATCGCTATAACGGAGAAATGGCTAAGCCCTGACATAAGTGACATGGAGATCATACTGCCAGACATGTCGCCTGTTAGGCACGACCGACCCAGAAAAGGCGGAGGGGTGGCTCTGTACTTCCGCAGTGACCTCTACTGTCACCTCATAGAGGACCCCGTCAGCACGGTGCAAGACTCTCTTTGGTACTGTCTACGTTTACAAAGTGACGACTATTGCTTAGTGGCGGTCAATTACCGTCCTCTTTCCTCCACGCCAGAGATGGACTCTCATCTGGCATCCGAAACAGGAAGGGTGATAAACGCCACTTACAGTAACATTCTCATTGCTGACGATTTCAACATCCACGCTCTGGAATTCCAAGGAGCTTCCGGAGAACAGTTTAAGGTCGAGCTACAAGAGTTCGTCTCCAGTTACACGCTGTATGGCCACATCAACATTCCCACCCGATTCCAAGAAAAAGGTAACCCTTCGATACTGGATGGGATATTCACCAACGAAGAACTAGTGGTCGGGAGGGTGATTGACGACATGCACTTGGGCCCCAACGATTATGCAACGTTACTCTTCGAATACATTTGCTATGTAGAATATCCCGTGGAATTGCCGACGTAACGCGAACGTATATACGCTACGATATAGTAGCTCGACTGGGTGAGACAGCCAACTGGACATTTCTGGCAGACAAGGCATCAGCTAGTGCATGGGAACATTTCGTCAGCCATTTTGGCTCTTTGGTTGCCGAAGCATCAATGACTAAGACCTTCGGCCCGAGAAACCTGGTCTCGTTTCTGCGAAGCAGGACACGCAAGTCTGTAGAAGTGCGAAACTCAGCTTGGCATATCTACAAACTCTCCCAAGCACCGCCTTTACCACCTAACGTGTAACCACTGTACTCAGCTTGTTTGCGAGGACAGAATGGCGTACCAGCAGAAGTTGACTGTGAGTATGACCGCAAACCACACGCTTCTGTATCAACAGGTTAACAGTCTACGTAAGGTGAAATGGGAAATTCCTCCTCTTCAGTCAGCGGTCGGACCCACACGGACATTAAATGAGGCGGCGAATACCCTGCGCCTACAATATGCTGTAACATTTCAGTGCGATCACTGGCCACTTAGCCCTCTATAGATAGTTGTTTTATCCCCAAAACTCACTCGCATATCCTTCACACCAGAAGCTATACTAAAAAAGCTGTTGAGTAAGCGCAAGCACAGCTCTCCTGGAGTTGAGAATTTGCACACGAAATCGCTAGCGGCAGTAGGAGAGAGTTTAGCTGTACCCTTAGCATGATTCTTCTTACACTATTTTCTAGAAATGTACGTGACGAAATGTGGAAATACGGGATCATTACCCTTATTCACAAAGGAGATAGTCGTTCCAATGCAGCCAACTATCGTCCCATAAGCTTACTACCGGTTCTTTCAAAGGTCATGGAAGCTATTATTTCTGACGCGCTAACCGCCTTTTCGGAAGAAGTTAACTACGTCGCACCGGAACAGCCTGACTTCTGACGAAATCAAGTGTGCACTACAAATCTACTACTAGCACGATCCAGTTGGACTGAAGTAATAGACTCTGGCACAGCCGTTTAGGTAGTCTTCCTTGACTTCTCAAATGCGTTCGACCGGTTAGACCATAACCTACTGCTCTTCAAACTCCAGACCTTTGGTATTGGTAATCCTCTCCTAGGATAGATCAGAAACTTAATCCTACACCGGCGCCTAGAAGTACGTGTGCGTGATTCGCTGTCAGATCCAGCACAAGTTGCATGCGGAGTACCAGAAGATCGGTACTAAGACCGAGATTATTTTTGACATATATTAATGATATCACACGCATCATAAGCTCGAACTGCCTTTTTTCCGATTACATCAAGATGTGGAGGACAATCAAAACACCAGACGATATCACAGTAGTTCAAGCTGATCTGGAAAGGATATAAGCGTGGTCAACTCAGAATCTACTTAGATTCAGTGTGGACAAATGTAGAGTGCTGCACCTACGACACAATTTGGTGCACTCCTACAAACTCGGCAACCGGAAGCTTCAAACGTCTTTTGGCGAGAAGGACGTGGGTTTTGTCCAGATCTAGCTAAGATGTTCGGAGCATGTTAAAACGGCGTCTAGGAGGGGCATCCAACATGTGGGCCTCCTGAAGCATACGTTTGGACGATTCGACCCTTCGATTTTTCAATAAATTCTCGGCTTATACATATGGCCACATGTAGAATACGCAACACAGGTCTGGCAGCCATGGCTGAGGATAGGTCTCACCGCCTTGTAGGTACCCTAACGCCGGGCAACCATGCATGTCAAGTGTCTGTATAATTTGCCGTAGGAACAAAGGTTACAAGTGCTCTGGGTCTTCAACGGACGATATCGGCGATTGCGCGGGAATCTCACTTTGAAGTACCAAATTTTGAGAGATCCCAACCATGCATACCGCTTCTTACTAGAGCTCAGTTACAATATCAATTTGTGAGGTCACCATCTCAAACTGGCAGAGCAGCACAGTCGTTTGGAAAGCCGTGCGAATTACTTTTCCGTACACGTTTGCCGAACATGGAATGCCCTACCGGAATCTGTAATATGTGCTCCCACGCTGGCAGAGTTCAAAGCCCGAGTTGACCGTACACTTATTTGGCTGCACCATCTTACATGACCCATTACCCATGGATAAACACAAGTGTGTAAGTGATTTCACTGGCGGTCACAGCACAGATTTCGTTCTACGTTTTTCACCCCCTCTTTGTGTACACCAGAAGGAGACACGATTTTTACCACTATCCCATGTACCTCCATTTCTTATGGATTTGCCTTGGATTTACAGTCTACACTACGTATACTTCAGTGAGTTCATTGGTGTAAACCCAAGTTTGCCAACAATCTTTTTATATTTTGTAGTTTCACCATAAGCATCCTACGGGACATGTTAAGCATTAGCTTTTTTACCCGTATGAAACCATTTTTCCATTGTACTGATGCTGGAAACTTTATAGCGAAGAAACTTAAAATATTTCGAGAGAAATGATGCGTCCACAGTCGATGGCATTTTAACGAGAATAGGAGAGTCTGAGTAGTGTACATAACAAACTGATAACAAGAGCATGATACATGTGGTACGTACCCTACTTGTATTACCCTTTCACGGAGCACACAGACTTAACACGACCATCTCTTAGCGGTAATCAGATAATCAAGCAGCTTACGCTTGCTCTCAACTTGATGGAGCCTCAGAATCTCATCATTTATGTGTCTCGCTACACAGATTATTTATGATAGTTGATGTGCATCATACCGCTTTAACCTAGCAAATTCTACGATCGTGGCGTTACCAGCAGACATTGACTGTGAGCGTGGCGCACATCGTTCATAAAAGTGCTCCCTCTGAGCTCACAATGAAAACCTGACGAGAAGAAAGAGCATTTTCGACACGCTGACCACTGATTTTGCAGATGACTTCAGTGGCTTTCGTGATATGAGTTTCTTTGTCCCACCCCATCCTTCTTAACCTCCCCTCCAACCACGATCTCACTACCTAGCCTTATTTAATTTCGCATAGTAATTCTTTGCTACATAGTGGCCGGCTGGTAGCTTACCGAAATGATGCCCATCCGTTATCGGTAGCTCAGCTGGCTTGTAGCTGTTGCATTTTCTCTCCCTTATTGTTCTATGTATTGCGGCACACTAGCTGAGGTACTTCCCACCTTTATCTAACTTGTATAATGATGATGATGATGATTTTGCAGATGTCGAGGCCATTGCGAAAATAAGCTGAGCTCCTGTGCCAATGACACTTTTTCCGGTTTCTTCAAGCGTCATATATATGCAAAAATGCAACACATATTTTGTGAAGCAGGTTTTCTAACGGGCTAATGCTCGTTTGGCCAGCAACAGTGCAGTTGCGCTCACACTATCCAGTCCAAGGCACTATCTATACAACCAAACTTCTGTTCCCATATCTCACTTTCCTCAGGTGTGGGGCTATATTCTGGCGGCTACCATTATGGTCAGCTTGGTTTTGTTCATGGTGGCTCGTTTTAGCCCTTACGAATGGAAGGTGAATCACCCGTGCAACGTGAATTCCAATGTGGTGGAGAACAAATTTAATGTGCTCAACAGCATATGGTACACCTTCGGAGCGCTCATGCAAAAAGGTAAGTACTAGTATAGCATTTGCATTAGCAATTTTTACTCTGAATCCCATGCGTCACCTAGGAGTATCCTGTTCTTGGTGACACTGTGTTCACTCATCTATGCACACGTTGGTTGGATGTATAGTTTATTGACCTTTATCTGAAGCTGAAACCCGGCTAGACTGTAATATCATGGCACCCGTGCTTTTCACTTTTAGGATCAGACGTTGTTCCGCACGCTACATCCACCCGTATCATCGCCGGGTTCTGGTGGTTTTTCACGCTGATTGTTATTTCGTCATACACAGCTAACCTGGCGGCTTTTCTCACAGTGGCTCGAATGGAG